CTCGGTTTTCGTAACACCCGAACGACTAGACAGAACGAATGTTTTAGGAGTAACTGATGATTATTTTAGATGTTAGTTTTAAACGTCTGAACATTATTTCGAGTTCGAGAAGTCGAGTAGTCTAACAGGTGTACCTTATATAATAACATCTGCCATTGGGTCAAATGGTGTCGTTTCGACACACAACTTGTACATGACAAGGAGAAGGGTCGCCTGTCCAACCTCCATTGGTGTTCTTTTGGTCCTACAGATTTTTAATAAAGGCAAAATGTTTCGTAATGTGAGGTGGGTTGTCTCTGGGTCATATAGATTTTAATAAAGGGAAAATGTTTCGTGATGTGAGGTGGGTTGTCTCTGGGTCATATAGATTTTAATAAAGGCAAAATGTTTCGTAATGTGAGAGACTTGGAAACTCTTGTAAAATACAATATTATGAACGCTGTATTCCTAACAGGACTAAAAGTCCAGAAATAGAACCTATCTTTAAGAATATAATTAAACCCGATTGATTGGTTCTTACTGCGGGTAAATGGATCAAGGTATCCGGGTCTAAGTCTACAGATGCAAAATAACCATGACACCCAACAACGGAAAGAAAAAGAGGCTAAAGATAGAGAAACTAAGGTGATTCAACGTTACAAGAAACAAAATGGTGAATTACAATCGCACCTTAATACAGAGCGAGCGTTACATCAGATAACAAAGAATTCTCTACATGCCTTAGAAGAATATTGTAAGCGATTACGTCAACTCATGCATGTTGCTAGACGTAAAAGTGGTTCACCTGATAAGTAAGTAATTGTTATATATACAGCTGGCGGTAGTTTTTCCTTTGATGTCCATAGCAGTTATATCTCATAACAACCTGTGATGACGTCACCATAGGTTGATATATTTGGTTCATATCAACCACTGATGACGCCATGACAGGTTGACATTTCATATCAACCGCTAATGACATCATCTCAGGTCGATATATTCGGCTCATATCAACCGCTGATGACGTAGATGATCGAAATAATTAGCGACTGTCATAAATGAAATAAGTTTTCATGTGTCGAATAAAACGTAAATTGGACCTTGAACACGAGACATTCCATTTGACAGCCAATCTACAATGTAATCGACGTTTAGTTAAGCGATTATAAACAGATTTTGTGATGAATTTCTATAATATATTGTTAAAAAATAATTGTATCTGTCATTATTAATATTTGCATGTAGTAGTTCATTTACAATGCCACATATTACATTGCCAGTTCAATAATAGCATGTGTTGGCCACAGACGCAATATACTGATCGCACTAAAACAACAGAAGCAATACTATCGTGGGACCTGGTGGCACACTGTTCTGCAGACAATTGTTTTTATGTAGCATTTCGCAGCTTCGTTTGCCTCTGTCAGTAGTACAGGGCGGTGGTGCTGGTATGGGACATTGTTTTGACGTTCTGACAGGACACACAGATGGTCTAGGAAACTATATGTTAATGCCCAGAGTTAAACATTATAATTCGTCCTGCACCACTGACAAGGGAGAACCACGCCGAAAAATCTCAAGGAACTTTCTCGGCCAACACGGGGATCGAACCCGCGAACTCCAGGATAGCGAGCCAGCGTCTTACTCACTTATTCACCGTGCCTCACGGATGCGATGAAACGCCGTGTAACTGTTGGCGTGCAAGTACTTTGTAGCTAGATGAACATTGTGCTGCCTGGCTAACCAGGGGATGCTGATTGAGAACGTTCCTCGGGGTTTCGGTTTGTGATTGCAATGGGGTGGAGGGTGGAGGGTGGTTGTCCAGTTGGGTGGAGGGTCTAGCAAGGAAATGCGTCTAGTTGTTCAGTGGGGTGGGGGGTCTAGCAAGGAAATACGTCTAGTTGTTGAGTGGGGTGGAGGGTAGAAGGTCTAGCCAGGTAAAGCGTCTAGTTGTTCAGGGTGGTGGAGGGTCTAGCAAGGAAGGGCGGCTAGTTGTTGAGTGGGGTGGAGGGTCTAGCAAGGAAGGACGGCTAGTTGTTGAGTGGGGTGGAGGGTAGAAGGTCTATCCAGGTAAAGCGTCTAGTTGTTTAATGGGGTAGAGGTTACAAGGTCTAACAAGGAAAAGTGTCTAGCGGGCTGCTCCCGTGTACTCGTTGGGTTAGTGTGCACATAAAGTAACCTATTAGCTAGTTGGTATTCGAAGATAGTGTAGTAGAAACATCACTGTCCGAGACAACAGTTTTTTTATTAGCTAGTCCTTAAACATACATTATGCAAGAGCTAAATCTGCCTATTGCAGGGCTTTTTTAGGTCTGAAATGTTATCTCAATTATTAATTAGACATCAATTACCCTATCCAGACCACAATCAACTTTCGATGTCATCGCTAGCCTGTGATGTTTATTGGGTTAGGTTCCGATTTGCTGTTCGACTTCCATTCATAATTTAATCATGAAATGGATAATCGAGACTATGTTTTTATCGTACGGATTTTAGTAATGATGATCGAGGCTAGTCCGAAAATTCAATCGCTAAAATCTCGGTTCAGAGTGGATCAATTTGACTGATATTTTCAGCAAATTCCCTTTACATTATCTAATTTTTAACAATTATAGTGCGAACTGCCAGCTCTTTATCTAATCTCCCATAATGTATTTTTAAATAACACCAGACTTCCATTCATAATTTAATCATGAAATGGACAACCGAGACTATGTTTTTTATCGTACCGACTTTAGTACTGATGATCGAGGCTAGTCCGAAAATTCAATCGCTAAAATCTCGGTTCAGAGTGTACCAATTTGACTGAAATTTTGAGCAAATTCCCTTTACAGTATCTAGTTTTTATAGTGGGAACTGCCAGCTCTGAGACTAATTTCCCATAATGTATCTTTAAATAACACCAGACTTTTGTTTAACGATAAATCTTTAATATTGTTGAGAAAATAAATTATCCACAAAACAGACGAGTTTTCTACCGACATGGACGTTTAAGCTGAATGTTTTAATATCGTTAGCCTCAAGGGATCGTAAATTTATTGTCCAAATGTGTTTTTGACAGTTTTTACTTGGAGTTATCAAGATATATGACGTAAAAGATTGAAGGCCTTCTTTTAGCAGAACCAGACGCCATGACAGGTACTGATTGAACAATATTATTTGACGCCATTATCATGGGTTGGCTTTAATATGGGGGTATTCTTCCAGGTGGCATGTGACTATTCACCATCTTGAAAACTATTTTAAAACTATCAAAGAAAATCGTGTAGAAATCGCCATAAGAAATAATCGTTTGATATTTGACAAAGCGGTATGAAAATTCATGAGAGTGTCATGAATCAGCAGGAAGTGCCGAGGGAAGGGACGAAGTGAATGATAGTGACGCCGCGTTCGTATTGTCATGTAATCTGACAATATCATTTTATTTGACGATGCTTTTATTGTCTCACATTCTACTGATGTACTATCGACTTTTATAGGAGTTTTAAGTATAAGAAATATTGACTGTCTCGATTGAATTATTAATCCTTTTATTTTTATAATTTATGTATGAAATGTACCGAATATTTAAAAATAGTCAAAAAAAAAAAAAAAAAAAAAAAATGACATGTCGAATAAAGTAATGAGTCCAGAGGATTAAGAGAGTCTGTTTCATTTCACCTAAGCTATTTGAAGACATTGCTATGTTAACATTGCTGGATTAATAGGGGATGTCTCTCGCTAAATAGAAAGTTTCGGCTTCGCTCCCCAGGGTTGACAAGGAACGAACAAGATATCTTATCGCCTCCATTTTCATACTTCATTACAATGTTGTTGCTACTGGATACAAGTAAACTATATAAGGACGACTGGGGGCGACAAGCAGGCGCTGTTTGAGCTGCTCTACTACTTATAGCTTCGGTCGCTTGAGGGCTGAGTTATACTAAGGCCGGGCACTGGTTGACAGCAGAAAGTCAAGGCTTCCAGCCGCCATGTTTCCGAGCAACACGACACTGATTTAAAGGGACAATAATATCCTCTATCTAAGTACTAGATGTTTAAGTGTCCTACCTGTTGTGTAAATTATCCATTACATCCTATTTTACTTGTCCAGAGGGTTCGAAAATATTTTTAAATCGAAGTTTCATTTGAAAAGGTTTACGTAAGACGTTTCAAACCATTATGTTGAATTTTTCAAAATTTTTAAATAAGGTGTGTTAAGATGAAATTTGTATCATCAATTAATTGAAATAATCTAAAATAGTACAATTTGTTGACCATAACAAAGATTGGGACATATTATTCAGTTACAACAAGAGTGGTATTGAGCCTTTAAGTGCTGTATTTCTACGAGCCTATGCGCCCATTTCCAAAGCCAGACGACATTCCTTTACTTAAGTATATCTGAACAGCTTTACCCATTTGGATCCCGCCCAGTGGGAGTCGAAATTGAACTCGTCAAATTGTAGAACACTCTACTTATCCACTAGGAATTAAAACACCTGTTCTATAATTCTAAACCCACACAATATCTCATGTCTATCTGCCCTAGGGTAGAACAGAATTTTAACACCACGAGCCATATTAACAGTAGGCTGTCTATCCTGTACAACTGTCATATCGACCGTGAAACGGTATATTTGGGTGATACGTTGTGGGATTTTTAACACTAAAAGCCATATTAACAGTAGGCAGCCTATCCTGTAGAAATTTCTTATCGACCGTGAAACGGTAGGTTTGGAAACGGTATGTTTGGGTGATACGTTGTGGGATTATCTTCCACCTCCCGCTTAGTGATTATCCACTCTAGGTGACGGATTCATATTCCCCGCCAGAACACTAATAAACCAAAAAACAAAAGAAATTAATTCCACCCGGGATGTAGATCCGTATTAAGATATCCGTCCATCTGGTCAAAAGCAAAACAAAACAAATCCAACCATCAAACCCCACTTTTCTAATTAGTGCAGACAAACAAATAATGTGCCCAACTAACCCGCCTTAACATTCATATCTGTCGATTATAAATAACTACAGATATCATCAAACTCAGATAAATTTATGTAAATGCATTATAACATGAATTCAAATTTTAAAACAATCATTTGCGTTGTTCCCCTTGGAATGTATGTAGATATTTATATTTATTGACGTCTACCTCCTTCCTCTCGTCGACCTTCCTCTCGTTGACCACCTTCCTCTCGTCTACCTCCTTCTTCTCGTCGACCTCCCTCTTCTCGTCTACCTTCTTCTCGTTGACCACCTTCCTCTCGTCGACCTCCTTCCTCTCGTCTGCCACCTTCTTCTCGTCGACCTCCTTCTTCTCGTCTACCCCCTTCTTCTCGTCGACCACCTTCTTCTCGTCTACCGCCTTCTTCTCGTTGACCTTCTTCTCGTCTACCTCCTTCCTCTCGTCTACCTCCTTCTTCTCGTTGACCTTCCTCTCGTCTACCTCCTTCTTCTCGTTGACCTTCTTCTCGTCTACCTCCTTCCTCTCGTCTACCTCCTTCTTCTCGTTGACCTTCCTCTCGTCTACCTCCTTCCTCTCGTTGACCTTCCTCTCGTCGACCGCCTTCCTCTCGTCGACCGCCTTCCTCTCGTCTACCACCTTCTTCTCTTCGACCTTCCCCTTCCTCTCGTCTACCACCCTCCTCTCGTCTACCTCCTTCCTCTCGTCGACCGCCTTCCTCTCGTCTACCTTCTTCCTCTCGTCGACCTCCTTCCTCTCGTCGACCGCCTTCCTGCTGGGCATAGGCCACAGCTAGTACAACCAAGAAACATACAACTGCTATCTTCATGTTGATGAATTAGTTATGTAATGTTTAAACGACCAGCGGTATCTCTTATATACTATTGGTACGCCTTCTCTGCCAAATGCTTGGTAATTTAATAATGAACAGATTCCCGATCTAAAGGTAGTTAAGTCACGTATATTCACGTCAGCTCGTATAAAATGACATTATATAATATCCTTTTAATCTTGTTTTATTTGTCTCAAATGTATTCCAGATTTTAGTTGTACATATATAGGTGTAAGTTAATTCTAATTGTTGGGAAATATACACCTGTTTTAAACAATATGAAAGACTGTTTGCTTGTTATTAAATCCCGACAATTCTTATCTAGGGATCCGGGAGGTAATTTGTGCACCACCCCAGGACTCAATGAAATTGATTCGTTAAGAGTTTGTATCATCATGGGTACTGTATGTCAAAAGGCACGATAGTGCCTTAGAGACCTGGGAGCGGTAAACTTATTTAATCGGTCCTATATGTCCCACCTATATGGCTATACACTGGACAAATACAATCATCTTGATGATATAACACACACTGGACACATACATCCATCTAGATGATATAACATACACTGGACACATACAATCATCTAGATGATATAACACACACTGGACACATACATCCATCTAGATGATATAACATACACTGGACACATACAATCATCTAGATGATATAACACACACTGGACACATACATCCATCTTGATGATATAACAAACACTCGACAAATACAATCATCTAGATGATATAACATACACTGGACAAATACAATCATCTAGATGATATAACACACACTGGACACATACATCCATCTAGATGATATAACAAACACTGGACAAATACAATCATCTAGATGATATAACTCACACTCGACAAATACATCCATCTAGATGATATAACACACAATGGACAAATACAATCATCTTGATGATATAACACACACTGGACACATACATCCATCTAGATGATATAACATACACTGGACACATACAATCATCTAGATGATATAACACACACTGGACACATACATCCATCTAGATGATATAACATACACTGGACAAATACAATCATCTAGATGATATAACAAACACTGGACACATACATCCATCTAGATGATATAACAAACACTGGACACATACATCCATCTAGATGATATAACACACAATGGACAAATACAATCATCTTGATGATATAACTCACACTGGACAAATACATCTATCTAGATGATATAACACACACTGGACACATACATCCATCTAGATGATATAACACACAATGGACAAATACAATCATCTTGTTGATATAACTCACACTGGACAAATACATCCATCTAGATGATATAACACACAATGGACAAATACAATCATCTTGATGATATAACTCACACTGGACAAATACATCTATCTAGATGATATAACACACACTGGACAAATACATCCATCTAGATGATATAACACACACTGGACACATACATCCATCTAGATGATATAACAAACACTGGACAAATACAATCATCTAGATGATATAACAAACACTGGACACATACAATCATCTAGATGATATAACATACACTGGACAAATACAATCATCTAGATGATATAACATACACTGGACAAATACAATCATCTAGATGATATAACACACACTGGACACATACATCCATCTTGATGATATAACACACACTGGACACATACAATCATCTTGATGATATAACACACACTGGACAAATACATCTATCTAGATGATATAACAGACCCTGGACACATACATCCATCTAGATGATATAACAAACACTGGACACATACATCCATCTAGATGATATAATTCATACTGGACAAATACAATCATCTTGATGATATAACTCACACTGGATAAATACAATCATCTTGATGATATATTCAGATATACACCGTGACATTCTCCCAAACACGCCCTTTCATACAATAAACAGGCTATTTACAAAATATACAACCCCTCCCCACTCAGGACAAGCTAATGTCCTCTATCTCCCCTTCCCAATCTTCCAGCCTTTTGGAAATATTCGATTTTTTTGTTATAATGGATTTGCATATATCCGTTCTACTGCACGTCTTAGAGGCCTACACAACCATACAACTGGTGGTTGTAATCATTTATTTAGCACCTACTTGTTAAACTGTTTCGACCCATTTCAATAAAGCACTGCAATCGCTGTATAAAAATGCCCAATGCGGGGTAAAGATTAATGATACACCTACTCCTTGGTTTAATGTACAATCAGGGGTCAAACAGGGTTATCTTATTTGGCCAAAACTATTTGCGGTTTATATTAATGGCCTTTGTAACGACCTTGAAAAATTAAATTTTGGGTTAAAGTGTGAAGATATGCATGTTTCGCTACTCCTTTAAGCAGACGATATAGCTATATTAGCTCCCGATGAAACGTCTTTAAATCGCATGTTACAAGTGTTGGATAGTTGCTGTAAAAAGTGGGATCTAGAAATAAACCCCCAAAAGACTAAAGTCATACACTATAGACCCCCTCTTCAAAACCACACTATATTTTCAAATGTGGAAACCAAACGATTGACTATGCTGACTCATATCGGTATTTAGGAATATGGTTAGAACAGCACTTAGATATTGCTGACCACAAATGAACTCGCCAAATTTACAAGTCGTGCCCTGGGATTAGTCTATACGAAGCTTAAAACGTGTAGAGAGATGTCCTATATCATATTTGAACCCATTTTGTTTATGGATCAGCTATTTGGGGAACACGATCATACTCTAGCATAAACTCCGTACAAAATAAAGCCATCAAATTTTATTTGGGCATTGGAAAACACACATTAAATCTAGCTAAATCCGCCTATTGCAGGTCTTTCTTTGGGCCTTACATGTCATCTAAATTATTAATTAAACATTTATTAACATGAAAAGACCTTAATCAACTCTCGGTGTCATCGCTAGCCTGCGATGTTTATTGGATTAGTTTCCGATTTGCTGTTCGACTTACATTCATAATTTAATCATGAAATGGATAATCGAGACTATGTTTTTTTATCCTACCGACTTTTAGTAATGGTGATCAAGGCTTGGTCGAAAATTCAGTCGCTAAAATCTCGGTTCATAGTGGATCAATTTGACTGAAATGTTCGGCAAATTCCCTTTGCGGTATCTAGTGTTTAACTGTACTCTTCAGAAAAAGGAGCGATTATTCAAAAACAATACAAAACTTCGGAAATGCACTGCTGTTTTTTTAGAGGTAACCAGTGTATGTTAATAACAGGCCAATTGCCTACACGTGAACATAAACAGTTCATATGGGCGGCTTATCTGACGGCCCCATTTCACTCGCAAAGAGATACACTGTCAAAAGTGAAAATGGAAGTTTTTGATTTTTGTCTTAATAATGAGTAATTGCTCCACCTTTCCTCAGACATTCAGCAATTCGTCGTGGCATGCTCCTAATCAACCGTCCTATCACGATTTGGGGCAAGCTGACCCACTCCTCTTGCAGTGCCATGGCCAATTCTTGCAGTGTTGTCCGTTGACGTTGACGTCGACGAACACGTCTCCCAATCAAAATAAACGTAACGCACTAAAGCAAAGATACGCTAAACAGTAAATCTTATGCAAGAACCGATAGAAAAGCAAACATGGATAGAATAAACCAGTAGGCGGCTGTTTTCATCAAACCTTCCTTGAAGTGTCAAATTTGGCAATGAACCCCTCCCACGTGTATGGCGCTATTGCGTGTCGCACATGCAGCTCGGTGGTTCTGTTGGAGCGATAAGTTCTTCATCTGTGAACATACTCTCAAAGCATGTCAAGTGTCCATGACTATTTATCATATCACAACCTGCATAGGTATTTACATTTCAATATAACCCTACTTTTTTTTTAAGAGTATATTATAGTGAGAACTGCCAGCTCTTTATCTAATCTCCCCTTCTGTATCTTTAAATTTGTGATACACAAATTTGTAATAAAAGCAAAAACAACAAGCAATTAGAATAGACTGCCCCTCGCCCGTAAGAATAATTTGCCCTCGCCTCGAGTAAGAATAATTTGCCATCTACGCCCGTAAAAATAATTTTCCTTCTCCGCCCATATACCTAATTGCCCTTTTCTGCCCGTAAGAATAATTTGATCTCACCTGAGTAAGAATATATTGCCATCTCGCGCTTGTCATAATAATGTAAATTCTCCTGACAAAAAGCATAAGTTGTCTTATCCCGTCCGTAATTTGCCTTCTCAGCCCGAATTAAGAATTTGTCCACAAATAAGAATAATTTTCCATCCCTGTCCTTAATAAAAATGTACCTTCTTCCGCTATTTAGATTAATTTGCCATATCCGCCCGTAAAAGTAATTTTGTCTTTCCTCCAGCAATAATAATTTGGCTTCTACGTCCCTAAGAATAATTTGCCTACTAAATCTCCACCCCTTATAATAATTTGCTTTTTCCGCGCTTAAGAAGAATTCTAATACACAGATTCTGCTACACTAGTTTGATGTCTAAAAGTAGGATAATGTTAAACTTAAACAAATCTTAACTGACTTTTATCACCCAACATCCAAAGTGCCCTCATTGAGTCACTAATACATGACAAAATAGCATCTTGACAGACCAGTAGAAATTGTTCAGAATATTTCAGCAAATATTGATTCCCTCCGAAATAAAATAAAACCGTAGATTTTACATGGATACCATCCCATGTCGGCATTTAAAATTAATGAAGCGATCTCAAAAATTCAGAGCAGTATCGGAAT